CTGCTCCAGGGAGGTGTTCAGCAAAGCAAGAGGGGAGCCGTGCCCTTGGGGGAGAGGGCACCCAGCTGGCCACCTCCCTCTTGGGAGCTGTCAAAGGCACCTTCAGACTGAGCTGTGGGAAAGAATAAAGTGGCCTACGCTACAGACACCAATGGAAACAGTTCTGCATCAGCTCTTTAGAAGTTTTTTAGCTTCAGAAAGCCTCAGCATCCTTGTAGGCTTCCTTAGGCTCGAAGTAACATGCAAGGGGACCCACCATTTGTGGGCAGGCAGGGTCACACCCAGGAGGTCAGAACCCTGTTGTACAGCAGATGGAAGATGAGACTCCGTGTCCCCTCTAATCTCCCCCTTACCCTCCTGATCTGTTTTGTCAATGGTAATACATCAGCTATTCCAAATATTCCACCTTTTCTCCAGTTTTTCTTAGGATTAGGAAAAGCACCAAAGCAGAGTATGAGAAAGGCTTTTGTATTCTGCTAGAGACAGATGTAAGCAGATGAAGTTCTCATCTCTGAGGAGGGTCTGGATTAGATTAGGATTTACAGTTTTCCCTTCACATAGCTCTGATTCCCCATAAAGCTGGGTACCCTCACAGCCCTCCTGGTTATTTCCCCCTTGTTTAGGTGTAGATGTGCATTGTCTCTAGGTGCAACTCCTCAGGCGTGTGGTTTCACCCTTGGTGCAGAGTCGTGGTAACACAAGAGCACACACACACGCACACATTTCCAGTTCAAGAAGTTCAAATCGGGGTCCCCACTTACTTTAGATGCAGGTCTGCAAGGGGGCACGGAGATGTTGGCAGCCCCTGGCCCAGAGAAGAGATCTGATTAAAAGCACACAGAAAATACATTTCAGTTACGTCACGGTTGTTTCACAAATCAACCTTATTTACCAATTACTCTTTTTTTTCCTTCCATTTTGTAGCTGTAAATGGTTCATGGCTTTGTGCCTGTACCTTTGGTCTCCTAGTAACAGCTTTAGATCTTACCGTAAAATTCATGAAAATAAATTTCATGCTCAGAACGCTCATCCCGTGGAACAAGAGACAAGGCTAAAGCATCTTTCACATTCTTCTGGCAGAGCACCTACATAAGAAAATGATAAGGAGGTAGTCTGGGCTATATTTGCAGCCAACAGCACTTTCTTTCCCACAAGTAAAGGCATTTCCATGTGTTCAGTCCCTGCTCTCCCATCGGGGAGGACGCTCTGAGGTGGATCTATGAGCCCAAGGTCATTTAGGTACCTATGAAAAACAAGGCTCCTAAAAGTGGACATAAAAGATTTAGATACCTGTTCAGATGCTTGCTCCATCCGGAAGCTTTCAGCTGTTTATATTAGCTCTGTAATTTAGCATTTTGAGGCACTGACTTTCCACTGAAGCTGTTGTTTGAAAAGAACAGATTTTATGTAGCTCAAAGAATTTAGTACAGTTGTATCCCATGCTGAGCAGACACTTAATCACCCATAGACTTCCTGTGCGAGAGCAGTCCTGCGGAGGCCGGTGAAGCTATTCGCACAAGTAAAGTTAATTGCCCATTTGTTCTAGCATTTGCCAAACCAAGGCTTTGATTCTCAAGTGTTGCACTGTGCTTTCCTGCATCAGTGATAGCCCTGTAAAATTCACATGTGACAGCTTGCTGGTGGGGAAGCAGCTCACCCTTATAATTCATTTCATTTGAGCTATCAAGCAACAGTTACAATAGCATGGTTTTTGGAACCAGTTTTACAGATCTTAAAGCTGGTTTAGATCAAGTTTGGGGTTTTGTTTAAATGATTTATCTCCCTCTATTGTACTCCCACTGAGGCAGACCTGCAGGGTAACGGCTGCAGAAGAGAATGCAACCCCTCTGACATCCCCAGGTCTGTCCCTGTGCCACCCTCCCTTGGACATTGTTTCCACCTCATAAAATTGCCCAACTTCTGCCCTCATACCTGCTCCAAAAGCCACTGCTTTTTCTCTGTGCAGCTCCCAGGGCTAGGCTGAGCTTGGCAGCACCCCCAGCCCACAAGGGAGCAAGCCACAGCCATACAGCCAGGGCACCTGCAGACCCCCGCCACCCCTGCTGCCAAATTTATATGGTCTGTTAAAAAAGTGATGGGAGGAGACGCAGGATCCAGCCGGGTTGGGGGGCAGGACTTTGTAAACGATCTCATGTCCCTCCGGTGGGAGATCAGGGCAAGTCAGCCCTTTCCCAGTGGGGGCCAGCTGGGAGCAGCAGTCATTTGCATGAGCTCTGCAAGGGGTGGGAGCGAGTTTTAGGGTGTTTTTGTTATCGGCTTGCCGGGCAGGGGCTAGGATCAGCTCACTCAATGTGGGCCAGGAGCAACCACATGAACTGCAAAAATTTTCCATCGCTGGGTACCTGCTCCGTCTCTAATGTGGGTGTTAGCTTGGGAGCCTAAACCTGGGGGGTTATAGTGTGGCTACAAGTGTTTATTTTCTGTGAAGATAAAGAACTCTTGAGCACTCTAACAGCCCTCCTGGCTCTGCCCCCAGCGCAGTGAAACTGTGGGTCTCCTCCCAGGCTAACGGTGCTGGGTTATTTCTAAATAATCTCATTTGCCGCTACGTGAAAATGGAGCTGGAATCGCATTCTCTGAGGCTGCTCTAGAGTAAATTACAGTGTCAATGTAGGTGTTTGGCCAAAAAAAGAATTGCCTTCATTACTCTCTGACTGCCTTTAAGTAGCACCTAAGCTTTTTGTAAGGACTCGGTGGTTTTGGGTTGCATGTAAATGTCATTAACAACAAGCTTTTGGCCAAAAGAAATAACTTCTCCCCTCTCCTCACTCACCCGAGGACTTGTAGGAGACCAGATGGCCCCAGTGTTTGGGAGCGAGGTTTGGCAAAGGAGACATTTTTGAAAGTTGGACTTTGCTAAGATGAAACATAGCTGTTGCTGCTGTCTTGCGGCCAACTCCGCTGCTTTTTTCTTTTTAAGTCTCAAGTCGTGTTGCTTTATTACCCACTCAACAGACAAGATGCACAAACCTGTGTATCAAAGGAGTGAAACAGCCTGGTCCAAAGAACATGCTGAATTTTCAATGCCCTGAGGCATATTGATTTGTTTTTTTTAAAGTGCATGCTCGGTGCTACTTGCTGCAATGTTATGTTCTTGTTTCTAATTCTGTAGGCGTGGGAGGCAGCGAGCTGCTCTCTGAAATCTTGCAAAAAAAGCTTGGTATGAGGAGGAGGGAATTTATACTGTGGAAAATGCCCGAAGTTTGCTGTGAGAAATGTATAGTGCTGATCTTCGGCTGAGAAATGTCATTTGCTAGCCTCAGATCCAGGCCAGGGTTATTTGAAGGTCGCATGGTCCCCAGCAAGACGTGTTTGGTGGGACTGCCGGGCTGCCCTGGATGCGCTTGTCCCTGTCCCTCTGCGGGGATGAGCCAGAAGGCACCAGCGGGCGAGGAGGGAGCTGTGCAGCAGGCAGGAGCCCACCCGTATTGCATCTTTATGCATAAATACTGTTCACATCCCCTCGCCCAGAGCAGCAGGCAAGTTTGTTGGGGAGGCTTTATGGGAGAAGCAGATGCAGAGGCAGCTGCATAGCAGAAGGGACCTGCCCCCCTTTTGGGTGACCATTGCTGTTCAAGGACCTCAGCTCCGAGCCCATGGGGAAAATAAGGTGTTTGCAGCTTTCCGGACGTCCCTGCAGTGCCCATGGTACATGTTGGGTTTGTACAGGCGTTGCAAAGGGAGACCAGGGGAACAGAGCAAACAGTGGGAGGGAAAGGTGTTTGCTGTGGTGCTGATGAAGGACATTTTTAATGTTTTAAGCAAAACTAGAGGTTCAGAACCTGTGTGCGCTGCTGAGCAGCATAGGAGCCACAGGGCCAGTAAGAAAACCAGTGCTGTTCGTTGGCGGGTCCAAGAATACATCTGAGCCAGAAACACAGAAGTTGTGGCTTGGAAGTTGGGTTCTGGTCAAGCTGCTGAGCAGGAGCATAAATCAGAGCAGACAATAATGGAAGGGAGAAGTTGAACAAGTCAGAACAGCTTACAGAGAGCTGGACATGCAAAAGCAAATAGCGATGTTTCAAGTATGCCAAAAGCAAGAAGCCTGAGAATGTGTCAGCAGAGCTGCCAGCTTACTGGGGCAAGTGAGGAAGCTGAGATTGTGATTGAGAAACACTGCGACTTCTGAGCAGGAGTCACCATCATTGCAGCTGAAAGAAGGTCCTGGTCCCAGTCTGCTTGTTTAAGGTAACAGAGAGGAGGTGCTGTCAGGGGCAGGGTTTGGAGAAGACGTTCAGGTGCAAGCTGATGGCTTGAAAAGTGTTTAGCCTCTGTGTCCAGATGGTTCACCCAAGAGTTCTGCAGGAGCTGGGCGGAAAGCTGCAAACAAACATACGCGCTTCTGCATTAAAACCAGCTGCTGTTCCAAGGAGCTGGAGGCTTTGCCTGTATTTTCAGAAAAGCTTTAGGATCGGTCCAGACAGTGATGGATAGAAAGATGTGGGGGAGCTGTTCCTGGCAATTTGATAGGAAAGATAATTAACAACAGAATGAGAAAACACCAGGAGGATGAGGGAAACCAGTAGAGCCCAAGGACAAACGTTTCTGTGCTGGAGGACGCTGTCTCATCGCTCTGTTAGAGTTGTCTTGTGCCAATGAAGCCAAGGGTAAACAAGGAGCAGCTGGTATAATGTACACTTCAGTCCTGCACAGGAGGCTGTCAAAGAGCTAAACGGAGTGACTCGCAGCAGATTGCCTGGGTAAAGAAAGCAAGCGGCCCCAAAGAAGAGCCAGGCAGAGTCCTGTGACACCTAGAAATCCGCCTGGAGAGTAGCAGGCCTGTTAGGCTGGGCTGTGTGTCCAGCCCTTCTCCTTGGGTTAGTGCGGTTGGGATGGGTTTGGGCAATAGCGGCTGCTTCTGAGGTTTGGCTGTGATCTGTGCCTCCCACCAAGCCCCATCCGCCTGCCAGCCCACCGTGCTGGGGACCCCTCTCGCCAGGGGTGGGGGGTCTCACTGCCACTCTGCTCTCCCCCCGCAGGAAAGTCCCACCTGGCCATCGTGCAGCGGGTGAACAATGAAGGGGAAGGAGACCCGTTCTACGAGGTGATGGGCATTGTCACCCTGGAGGATGTCATTGAGGAGATCATCAAGTCTGAGATCCTGGATGAGACGGATCTGTACAGTTAGTGTCCCAGAGCAGCTACTGCGGTTGCAGGACCCAGGGTGGGAGCCCGCACAGACAGACATACATGTGGGTAGGAAACAGGCCAGAGCAAATCATGGTCCTTCCCCAGAGCAATTTACAGTCGTGGTGGGAAAGACAAGAATGATGGAGAGATGCTGGTCAGATGTCAGGGAGCCTTTAATGCTCAAGATAGAGAAGCACCAGCATCAGCAGCCAGTGGCTGGGCAGGGCCTGACCCAAGGACACGTGTGTTGGGCGTGAAGTGCCCATGGGTGGTTCCCAAGCTCCTTTATGTGTGTTGGGCGTGAAGTGCCCATGGGTGGGTGGTTCCCAAGCTCCTTTAGAACTCTGGGTGATGCATCCAGCCGGGGCATCCCAGGACTTGTTCCTGAGAAAGAAGCGTGTTTCACCACCCTGCTCCCTCCTCGGGGAGCTGCTCCCAAGGCTGTGATGCATGGCACCTTTTGTGCACCCCACTGCTCCAGCTGCTGCTCCACAGCAGCCCTGCCATAGCGTGCAGCAAGACGTGCCTCTCTCCATACGTGTGTGTGTGGTATGGGGCCCTGCAGCTGCAGTGGCTTTGTGGCTGCTGCAGGCGGGCGACCACTCTGCTTTCTGCCCCACAGCGGACAATCGGAAGAAGGAAGGCTTTGTGGCTGCTGCAGGCGGGCGACCATTCTGCTTTCTGCCCCGCAGCGGACAATCGGAAGAAGGAGCGGGTGCCCCACCGGGGACGCAAGCCCCAGGACTTCTCCATCTTCAGGCTCTCGGACAGCGAGATGAAGGTGAAGATCTCCCCGCAGCTCCTCCTGGCTACGCATCGGTTCATGGCAACAGGTACCCTTGCCCTTGTGCAAGCCCTGCATCTCCGTGCAACAGCAGCGCCAGCCCTGCAGGGCATCCCTGAGCTCTTCCTGGGTCGGGCTCCCCCCGCAGCGAGCAGTTTCCACCTGCCTGGACCCCCACCCCGGGGCATCCTGCTGCTCCACCATCATGGGTCTGTGTTTGACTCCCCTCTGTGCAGCAGGGTGCTGAGGCTGAGGCCGTGTAGCTCAGAGGACAAGGGGTTCCCGGCAGCCCCAGCCCCGCTGAGTGAGCGTGTTGCCTCATCTCTAGAAGTGGAGCCTTTCAAGTCCCCCTACTTCTCTGAGAAGATCCTGCTGCGGCTCCTGAAACACCCCAACGTCATCCAGGAGCTCAAGTACGACCGAAAGAACAAGAAGGCAGCGGAGCATTACCTCTACCAGCGCAACCGCCCTGTCGACTACTTCGTCCTCATCCTGCAGGTGCCAGGGGCAGAGGCGAGCGGAGGGTGGCAGGGTGTGGCCCATCTCTCCTCGCCGCCTTGCGCTGGGCTGCTTCTGCCAGCGGAGATGCCCATCTTCTCATACAGGGCGGTGGGGGTTCCTGCAGCCCTGGGTGGGTTGGTGGCCAGGAGCGTGGGGTGCCTGTCTGAGCAGGTTTTCCTTCTCCTTCCAGGGGAAAGTGGAGGTGGAGGTTGGCAAGGAAGGACTGCGGTTTGAGAACGGGGCATTCACCTACTACGGCGTCCCTGCCATCATGGCTGTCGTCTCCTCAGGTAAGGGCCCTGCCTTCGCTTTGGCAGCCTCCATGGGGGCTAAGCCGGCTGGTGGCCAGGAGAATGGGCTGGCCGTGAGGTGGGGTGGCCCCACGGCAGGGCATGGGGCAGGTGGGAGCCCTTCCTCTGCAATTCATACACCTCCAACTGTCATTTCAGATAATGACATGCGGAAAGTGGGCAGCCTGGCTGGATCCTCCTTCCTATGTGAGTATTTTGGGATAGGCTGGGGCTCTAAAACGTCTCCTCCGTGGCACCAGCCGGCTGGAGGAGGAAGGGGTTTGCACCCCACAAAGAGCAGCTTGGGCTCTGCGCCAAGGTCACCCCCTTTTAAAAAGGTGGAGGAACAACGTGCTGAGGGGCTCATGCAGCAAAGTCCCCGCAGAGGGACTCTGAGGTCCCTTTGAGGTCCCTTTGGGGTCCCTTTGAGGTTTCAGCCATGTGCTGGATTTCTGCAGGTGGATGCCAGCACGGCTGGCACTGCAAGGGGCACTGCCCACGGGTGGCAGCGTGCCCACGTGGATGGGAGCAGTAAACCCTGTGACTTCTAGCACAGTGCATCTAGGTCTCAGCGTAACATGTCTGGACCCGTTTGTGTTCCCAAGGCTTGGAGCACGAGCTGAACGTGGGTCCCACGCCAGGGGAATGGGGGCTGCTCGGGAATTGCAGGGATGGGTCAATTTACCTGTGAGCTGTTCGCACGTGGTGGTGGGGAAATCAGCCGAGTTAAAAGTAGATGCCCCAGCCCCGGTAAATTCCCTGCCTGCAGAGCTGATGGGTTAATGAGCAGATCCCCTGCTTGCAGGAGTTAAGAGGAAGCTCTGATTAGGGGAGACTGTGAGCCCCCCCCTTCTTTGCTGATCACCCCTGCAAATGTTTAGTCCCTGGTGGCTTGGGAGCAGATGGAGGTGCTGCCCACCCCCAGTCCGGCACATCCCTCATCCCAAACCCCAGACATTGCAGTCGGATCTGCAGTGCTGATGGTAAGCCGAGAATGCTCTGGGTGCCTAATCAAAATAAGAACTTGCTGAGTTCAACCTTTAGGGAGGTGTAGGGAGGGATGTTGTTGATAGAACAGGGGGAGTCCCTTGGGGCACGTGACTGTCACTCCCGTGGGTCCCAGTCTGCATGCAGCTCTAGGGTTCACCTATTTCTTGCTGCTTGCTTTGCTTCTATTCGAAAGGCTGGCTCATGGACTGCTGGATTAACCCCTCAGTGCGCATTCCTCCTCCCCTGTGTGTCCGCCTCCCCTGTGCGTCCGCAACACGCTTGGTTTGGACAGAGGAAATCAATGAAGCGGGCGATTTCCCCCAGGAAGTTGCTGCATGGCCTGATGCCTCTGTGCCCTTGGTGACCGTCCCCAGGGCCCCACCAGGGCTCAGGCAGTGAGTGCTGCCCACGGGCAATGGGGCAGGCAGGGCACGGGACACGGCAGGAGCCCGCTCAGGGGTCCTTTTCTCCCCGTGCTCGCGTGTGATGCTGCGTCACGAGATGTTTTCTTCCATCCAGCCACCCCTGCCTGCTGCGGGACGTGTGCGGTGTCACACCCCTGGCCAGCAAGGAGGCAGGGTGGGAGGCAGAGGTCGCAGGGTATTCCCCTTGTCAGGCTGGCGTCCTCCTTCCTCCTTGAAGCAAAGCCCAGCAGAAATGAGTGTGAGTAGTGTGTCACAGTGGAGAATTCAGACGTTAACCCTTGAGCATTTAACAATTTGTTATTAATTAACCATTGTTATGCAACTTCTTTATCGCCAGGCAATCTTTGGCCTTGTCAGGCTGGCGTCCTCCTTCCTCCTTGAAGCAAAGCCCAGCAGAAATGAGTGTGAGTAGTGTGTCACAGTGGAGAATTCAGACGTTAACCCTTGAGCATTTAACAATTTGTTATTAATTAACCATTGTTATGCAACTTCTTTATCGCCAGGCAATCTTTGGCATTGGCGGCCTG